CATTTGTACGATAAGTTGGTCCTCCGTACAATATGCAATCAATAATTTTGAAATTATTGATCGCATTCAGTGAATGAGTGGTTGTAATCAGTGTGCCGCAACAAATACCAGAGATTTTTTTATGAACCTTGAAGTCATCTGTTTCCATGTGACAAGTTTCTAGCCAATCATGCTACAAGTAATGTCCAAGAATTTGCCTCAGAACTATGATCGTGGTTGGCTGAATGGCCTGCTGTTCCTGCCTGATGAAACGTTCTACCCCGATGATGACATCATTCCCAGCCCTGACTTCCACGGTAAATAAAACGGAGGAAATAAAGGAGTGTACCCATTTGTTGCAGTGACATCTTTCCGACCGATCCATCATGAGTGCCAAAAGTTTGCCATAACTAATCAAATATATAATAATCAAATATTTAACGCAAAAAAAAGCAGAGCAAAGATGGATCAGTGTGATAACGTATTTTCTCTCTCCATGTCCTATAATATGTGATCGGAAGTAAAGTGGAAGCATCCTCACCATCAATGGTGTAGAATGTGAGGATTACATAACAATAAACTCAATATCAATCACATAGAAGTAATCTTATTTCGCTGTAATAATCTGCAGGGATTTGTTTTCTGCTAGATCAGAATTATACCAGTTTGAAATACAGTTTGTGGATAGCAGTATTGTACTTCAAACTTAGCTAAGAGCAGTGATACCCAAAGTGGGGGGAGAGACCCTCCTAGGGGACACAAAGCTCTTGCATGGGGCCACAGTGAGAGAATGTACTGATTTGTATTTCATTTCCTGCGTTCATGAAAAAAAAACTGTTGTAGGAATTTCCTGTTTTAAATAAAGTTCATTGGATATTTAAGGCAAAATTTATGCGCTGTTTGTGTTTAAGAACATCTGCTGAGAAGGGAATGCAATGTATGGTAGTTAGCGGGTTTAGCTTAGCTTAGTTATAGCTTAGGTTAAAGCATTCTCATTCTCACTTTTTCTTCCTTCTTTTTTTATTATTATTGTTGTTTTTCTTTTGTGAATGTGAGGTTGTTTTGAAAACAAATCCACTCTTTTATTTTAAATGTGTGTGGTACATAAACACTTACTTCAGGAGTAAACACAAAGGGACTTAAGAATGGAATATAAAATGTATCATACGATTCTCAAACATATACGTTTTGCATGTGCGACTTCACTGTTCGAGACCTAGTGTCTAGAATTCCAGCACTCAAGGTCAAGGGAAGGCCTTGAATGAGTCTAAGTTTATTTATAACTACATTCATGCTTAATGCATTGACTATATATATCATATGGAATGTTATTAAATGGACAATTAGCATATTCCTGACATTTCAAAATGGAATTCACATCAGTTCTTTACACATTAGCATACATTAAAATTGACATTTTATAGCATGTTCTTCCAGGAGGAGACGCTCTAATGGGTGTTTTTCTTTTTTTTTTAACTTTATCATTTGTTCTGTCTGCTGTAACTTCCTCTGACAATGTATCCAGTTGGACATGACCTTTGACCAGGGTAAGGGAATGCCCAGGTAATTAGTGCAGTCAGGACAAAAGGCCTCAGTGAGTCAAGGATTTTTTATTTTCTGACTAGCTCCACCTGCTGCTAAGTTTCAGGAAATACAAACCAGCACAAGGCCGAAATTACGAAGGGTAGAACAATTCAGATAATAATTAATCATCCAAGACGTTCATTAGATACAACCGAACTTTATACTCCATGTCGGAATCAACTGGCGCTGTGCATGATTTATGCAACTGATGATTATCTTTTTTACGTGTCAAAATTAATTTCTTATATACCACAACTACTGTAGGACATACACGTGTACCCTTGCACCTGATATAGACACAAATTAGGAGTGTAAAATGTGTTGGTATTGCATCCTTATTACTTTATGTGCCTCAAGAAATTCATAATGTTGGTTGACCTTTAAATCAGAGCTAATATATATATATATAGTGGAACCTCAGATTCTGAACAGAAAAGTTCAAAAGCTGAAACAATTTTCCCCCATAATGTAAAACGAAACAAATGAAAATTAACAAGTAGGGATGTACCGAATTTTCGGCCACCGAAAATCTTCGGCCCAAAATGGTCCAAAAGTGCATTTTCGGTTATCGTCCGAAAGACTTTTATCACCGAAACACCACGGCCGAAACAGGAAGGCCAGTGTGGATTTGTCTGCGGACGTATTTCAATATACCTGAGAAAGACCCACGGATAGCGATTTGCAAAAAGTGTAATCCTGAAATTAAAAGGTGGGTAAATCTACAAAGAATTTCTCCATGTCGGGCTTAATTTATTACCTGAAATCCAAACATCGCGATCACTATCCTGAATATGAGAGGAAAGCTGCAAACGCGAGTCTTGTCTGCATACAGCGCACCCTGTGACATTCACTTCACACCAGTGGATCCTAATAGAGAACATTCTCTCTCTTCTTGCCCCGTTTGAGCAGCTAACTAAAGAGATCAGCTCCTCTGATGCATCTGCAGCAGAGTCTGTCAGCACACGTTTCACTGAGATCTATTTAGATCCTCTGCAGTTGGTCACGGCTGTATTTGATCCGTGTTATAAAGATCATTACTTGGATGCGGGAATAAAGCAGCGCATACGAGAAATAATCAATTGACTTAAATGCACTTTGTTTTTATTTTCAGCAGGCTAGTACATTATCATTTAATGTACACATAAGTGGGGGAGAAGTTTAACATTTTATTTTTTATTGTGTATTCTTCGCATGTGCTAATTTATTATTTTCATAATTTTGTAATTGTTTTATTTATTAAAATTAATTAATGCAATCGCAGTGTCTTGATTTTTTTTTTGTGGTTTAGTACACAGTCATAGCCATAAATACAATGCTAATAATGCAATGGTACTAATTGGCATAATAATTTATTTTGGTTTACGGTTTTTCGGTCTTACTCATTTTTGAATTTTGGTTTCGGCCAAGAATTTTAATTTCGGTGCATCTCTATTAACAAGTGCAAGAGATTTAAGGGGGGTGGGGAGGGTATGCTCTTACTTAAACTAAGCTCCATATCAAATCCCAGATCTTCAGGACAATAACCTGACTGTCCTTGTTTGACCCGGTAAAAGCCACGGCTATAATCTGTTTGTCAAATCTGTACTCAGACCTCGCTGTAGCTCCTCACAGATGTTGGTGATTAATTTTCTAGACCAATATCCTGCTTAAAACGCTAAAGACTAATGTTGTCTCAAGGGGTATTGCTGCAAAATAGTGTAACTTCAGTACCTTTTAAGGTGGTTGCAGCTAATTTAGATGTGGTAATCTACATCAGGGGTGCCCAATAAGTAGATCAGGATCTACCAGTAGATCTCAAAGGGAGTGCTGGTAGATCCTGAGCAATTACATTTAAAGAAGCAAAAAAAAAAATTATAGATTTAATTCTATTTGAAGATGCTAATCACTAGGGCCAAAGTAAGGACCATAGAAGTATTGTCAGACGGTATTGTGCAAACTATAGCCATTTAATCAAAGTAAAATATATATATTTATAGTTTTCAATGCAGGTAGATCACTTTACCACTGCTTGTCCATAACCCACCATTTAAGAAATACTGAACCAGACTTATCAGTAAGCTAACATTACACTCTTACGTACAGTCAGTGTTAATCTAGTGAACCAATCTTTAGACAGTTTTGCACATAAACCAATATAGCAATTGACTGACGGGTTGGGTTGGGTTTTTCAAATCCTCCACAGGGGACTGGAGCCATTGAAGGGAGGAGGTGCGGGCTGTCGAGCAAATTAATTTCACTTTCACTTTGCCACTTTGAGGAAGACCTTAAGCTGATTCTCTGAGTCCTTACAACCTGAAATATATACTGCACATACATATTGCACATACATACGTACATATAGGCTTTGTTTAGTGTGTCTGCATGTACTGTATGTATCTTTGCATGTAAGTATGCACGTACTGTATGTATGTATAAATGTATCTATGTGACTTATAGTCCGGAAAATACGGTATATGCATACATAGGTAAAGTACCATAGGTGTGAATCAGCTTCATCAGTAGCAGTTGCCTTACAGCTACAGCTACATCAGCTTCATCAGTAGCAGTTGCCTTACAACTACAGTACAGCTGTTTCTATCTCAGCCTCAGATCTGACTTTATCGACCCTTCCTTTAATCGCATCATATATTCTGACTTTAGTCAGTGTTAATCTCCTCAGCTTGTCCACTGAGAAATAAAAGCAATGTGTAATTAGTGGCTGTATCTAATGTAATACTGGTTGTCCTGAAGTGAAGGTGATAACAGAGTGTGTCTCTGACGCTCAGATGAGACTGGCAGATCTCCCAGCCGATTGCGAGAGAACACGTTAGGCATTAACTCCCCAAATGTCAGGGTAAAATTTTTCGACCACCTCATGCACCAAGGTGATGGTCAAGATCTGCAGCACGCTGAGTTCCATTCTGACCGGCTGTTAATGCATCACGGCAACTGTGACAGGGTGTTGCCTCGTAGACTGGACTGACATTCTGGGCTTGTCATTCGGCCTCGTACAAATGCGCTTGTTACTATTCATGCAGCTCATTCCACTGATCCACAGTCTAAGTGACAGCTGTGAAAATGCTTCGCTCGTCCCCAGATGAAAGGCCACTCAGCAAATAGTCATGCCTGCAGCAGATATGTGTAATTATGAAGGGGGGAAAAAAATGAAGATAATTGTCACAATTAATTTGCATGTAAGATGTTTGTTTGTTTTTTGAATATATTTCAGGACGGGTGGGATATTTATTGGCGTAAATTTAACAACAAGGACGGGTGGGATATTTATTGGCGTAATCGCTTCAATTTAACAACCTAATCCAAAAGATTGTTGTCTACAATAAGTGTCGAATAATGAGTGATCAATAAATAAATCTGAATTCAATAAGTGTCGAATAATGAGTGATCAATCTGAATTATTAAATTCTTAACATCCTAGTTGTGTTTTTTTTTTTCTGCAGGAAATATCTTTGTGGTCAGCCTGGCAGTGGCAGACCTGGTGGTGGCTATCTATCCATACCCTCTGGTCCTCACCTCCATCTTCCACAATGGCTGGAACCTGGGATACGTCCACTGCCAAATCAGCGGCTTCCTCATGGGCATCAGTGTCATCGGCTCCATCTTCAACATCACGGGCATCGCCATCAACAGATACTGTTACATCTGCCACAGCCTCAAATATGACAAACTCTACAGTGACAAAAACTCTGTGTGCTATGTAATGCTGATCTGGGCTTTGACTGTGGTGGCCATCGTGCCTAACCTCTTTGTTGGGTCACTACAGTACGACCCGCGGGTTTACTCCTGCACCTTCGAACAGTCAGCCAGCTCAGCCTACACCATGGCAGTGGTTTTCTTCCATTTTATTTTGCCCATCATGATTGTTACCTACTGCTACCTGCGTATTTGGATATTGGTCATACAGGTGAGGCGGAGGGTCAAACCAGACAACCGGCCCAAGCTGACGCAGCACGACGTTAGAAACTTTGTCACCATGTTTGTCGTCTTTGTGCTGTTTGCCGTCTGCTGGGGACCGCTCAACTTTATCGGCCTGGCCGTAGCGATCAAACCGGAGGTCGTGATTCCTCTGATTCCCGAGTGGTTGTTTGTGGCCAGCTACTTCATGGCCTACTTCAACAGCTGCCTTAATGCCATTGTATATGGAGTGATGAACCAGAACTTTAGGCGCGAGTACAAGCGCATTGTGGTGTCAGTGTGCACGGCTCGCATCTTCTTCCAGGAGAGCTCCAACGAGGCAGGGGAGCGGCTGAAAAGCAAACCCTCACCGCTCATGACCAACAATAACCAGGTTAAAGTTGACTCTGTCTGATTCAAGACTCAGGAAAAGATGAGGGCAGACACACAGAGTCCATGTCTATACAAGTCTTGAGTCTTCTCTGTTGTTTTTCATTTACCCCAAAAGTGTCGGTTTAAGTCCAGAATTAAATAAAACAATTTCTGATAGGGTATTTTATATTTTTTATTTTATCTAGGAATTCAACTTCAAAATCAATTAAAACCCTAATCCTAAGGTTCTTTGACTAGATCCCATTGCAGGTTTTTTCAAATCTTTTTGATTCAGATTATGTGACGATCAATGTCAAGTAGCAAAGTGTATTTTGTTGCCATTTATAGTGTCTCTGGAATCATTGTCAGCTAAAGAGTAACCTGGATAGAACAGCATGTCCAAGTGTAGGTTTGTTTCGTTTAAGACTTACAAGACTTAAAATCATAGCAAGCAAATCTTTGGAGCAGGTCACGACCTGCTTTTTTGCTTTGCCTATGGACTGAAATTCACTTCTTGACAAATGTTCTGATAGAATGAATTGGTTCAAATGTTGATGGACAGAGCTACATTCATTTTAGTTTTAGTTTCCAAATTCAGCAATTGCTGTGATTTGTAAATCTCATCAAATAAACCAAAACTCAGCTCAAGATGCTCTGATGAAACCTGTCAAAGCTAATCGTCTATAGTCGACGCCCTTTGGAGACTTTAAAAGCTAATCGTCTATAGTCGACGCCCTGAGGACACTTGTCTTTAGTTCTTAGAACATCTGTGAAAGAACTTTTTCATTAACCCTGGTATTTGCCCTTCATTACAACGGGGTCCAAACCATTCCAGATCTCGTTTTTTGTGTTGATAAAGTGTTCAGGGTATTTGTCCATCAGACTGATTTCATCACTTTGTCCATTGACCTTCACCCAATTCCTTGAACGTTTTGCATATTAGGTTTTTGGTATCCTGCCTTTTTGTCCAAATGTTACCGGGGCCGGCACATTACTTTTGAGACATTTCTGATATTTTATGAGGAATTAAATGAGGTGTAAAACTCTCCTTGATTTTCAGTCAATCGGTCACTTTTGTTTCCTCTTATTACTCGACTTATTTCTTGACACTTTTTAGTGACCAAATGGTTTCGGAGAATCCAACTTTAAGGTAATTAGCTTTTGCGAAACTATCATAAATGTCTGTTAAGTGATAGGGTTTGAGGCATTTTGCTTATTTGTGTATTTTATCACTTTGATGTAGTTGATTTAACACTTTCTAGTAGAAGCATTAGTACTGTAGTAGTAAGTACCGAGTAAAGCAGGGGAGGCTAAAGACTTCTGTATTTTCTGTATACTATTCAGAAAAACCAAATATAATGAACAACCTCTTTCTTCTGGGAAATCCCTAGACTACCATGGTGCTATTTGACCTCTGGAAAAAAAAACAAAAAAAAAACGTCCCAGTAAGAACAGGACTCTTATTAGCTGTGTCTTTTTCTCCAACACTTTTGTTTTTGACTCACTTTTGTTTGTAAGTACAGTAAATACAGTAGGATGTTTGGTTCTTTGTTCACTATCTACAGTGATACATATAAATGTATGTATAGATATTTATTTCGTATTATTAAAAAAAATGTTCACGTCGAAACCTAGTACTGTGTGTAAGGTCTGAGTAAACTGAAAACACTACTTTGAGGCCTATGAAGAGAAAATGTCACCACACGTTTATCAGTGATGTTGATGACCTCATCTGTGACACTGTAACACTGTGTGCGCCTATGTGGGTTGCTGCTGTTTTCTTATATCCTGCTATGCCATTTTGATATATATATATATATGTATATGTGTATATATATATGTGTATATGTATTTACGTATGTATACCTGTATATGTGTATCTATAGATGTATACATATATATGTATATATGTGTGTATACATATGTTTGTATATATGTGCATATACATATATGTATTTATATATACATTCTTAAAGATAATCCGTCTGTTATTCTCTCATACTCTTGTGTAAGCTAATTATACTGTGTGCATGGATATCAGGGTGTGTACATATGCCAAAAATAAAATCTTATATGACAAAAGACTTATTTTGTGTATTTTTGTTTTATTATGTAGATATGTATGCATGCATGCATGTATCATGTACATTGATTGTTAATGAGAGCAACAAGAAGCACGAAGTGGATGAATGGTGGACTGGATACAGACGAATGTAATTGTATTGATGTGATTTTATATATTTACATATATATGTGTATATTTGTATCTGTATGTACAGTATATGTGTGTGTGTCCGTTTGTTTTGGCTTTTTAAAAGCGATCCTTGTCCTCCTTTAAATCCATTATGGTAATATAAACGAAAGAGATAGAAACAGTAAAAACTAATGGCATCTGCTGAAAACGTTGCTCTTTTCGTTTTTTGGTTGTTTTTTTTTTCTCTTATCAAACCATCATCGCTATGCGTGTTTGTCCTACTAAAGATCAGGCCTCATCTGTATACACGATGTCAAGGTGAGCATATGAAAAAAAAAAGCACGCGTAGGCATTGGTGTCCTTCATAACGAGAGAGCAGCTGTGGTCCATAGGACGCAGGTAAGCATATACAGGCTGCTCCATCACCACACGGTTTGTATGTGTGTTACATGGCATGTGTGGGCTCTCCTCACTGCTGCCACGCAGACAAAAGCATCATGCATCACAGAGGGAAAAGGGCTCAGCCGTGCATCAGAAATCCACGTGGCTTACATAATGGCTGCTGACCATCATCCTCAAAGCAGGAGCTGAAAGAGCAGGCTCCAATGGCAGACTTCCTGCCTCCCCCACCCTCCTGCGCCCAAGAAGCCCCACCACCACCCTCCTGCTCTATCTGGTTAATCCCAAGAGCTCTGTGTGCTGGGAAGCAAGTGAATGGGTTGAGGGATGAGGAAAAGTGAAAATCCCTGGGATTTACACATGCCCTAAAGAGAGTAATTCTGTAATCTGGGCCCAGAGATTTTTAGAACCTGAAGGGGCAATAAAATAAAGCAGAGGAGCCAGGTGTTATTTCACCAAAAGAGGTCTGTGTTCGATTCATAATTTATGACCAGGAATTGGTCTGTGTTCGATTCATAATTTATGACCTAATTTATTTTTAAAACAAAAAAAAGAATCTATTCTTGACCATGACAAGGACCAGTAGGGGGAGCAGTAGAGTTTGGAAAATAGATAAATAGTTTCTTTCTGTGTAAATATCCCATGTTACAGTGTGGACAACTGCGGCTTATAGAGAAGTGCGGCCTATATATGTACGATTTTCTTTCTTTTAATTTAGTGGCTGTGGCCTGTATTCAGGTGTGTTCAATAGTTCAGAAATTACGGTAAATATCTTTAAAGTTTACAGCAATTTCATGTTGGTGTCTGGTCTTAAGGGAAACTAAAACGCTACATTGAAAAAAACTCAACTGTTCATTCAGTGCAAAAAAAAAAAAGATTTATTCATTTATCTTCTTCCACCTAATCTGGTGCAGAGTCGTAGGCTGACCTGGGGCCAATCCCAACAGACAATGGACGAGGGCTGGATTACACCCTAAGCGTTTCACCAGTCAACACCAGAGATAGAAAACAACCAACTATTCACACTAACATTCACACCTATGGTCAACTTAGAGTAAACGGGTCAAATCAGTGACCGTCCATGATCATAAACCATGGGTCAAATCTGGCCCACCGAACCACCCACTCCGGTCCATGACTGGATTCCAAAATAAACATCACAAAGTTTTCTCTGCTACAGATAAAAGACTGTGGCGCAATGTCTCTGTCATTGGTGTGGAACCCCAGGGTTCACCTCCTGGGCAAGTTCGAATCCCGGTTAGGGCGGTTGGTACCTTCCAGTGGACTCACCACCCGCAGGAAGGTTTGGGGGGTTGGTACGTTGCAATGTGATTTGGGTGGCGACTGCTGCCCCCGCGACCTGGTAACGGATAAGCGGATGAAAATGGATGGATGGATGGATGGATGGATGGATAGATAAAAGACTAAAATGACACTCCAGAGTCTACTCAATATTCTGACATTCTTCTACTGTCACTGACTGTAACCGGAGCAGTGGTCTGTGTTGAATGTAATCCATCCTGTGTAAAGAGTCTGTGGGCCGGGCAGTGACACTATGTCAACGGTGTCTGTTTGGACTGTTTGGCTTTGAGTCGTTCGGGAAGTGAACCGAACAGATGAGAGTCACTGGGTGACGATAATGCTGTTGGGTCTGCTCACTATTGTTCCTGCTGCAGAGAAACCATCCAAATGTGAACCACTGCTGCCACCTGGGCTTAACACAAACTCAACAGAGCTGTGAAAACCTGCTGTGGCAACAACAAAAAAAAGTTGTTTGTTTTAAACAGTGTCACTGTATCATTGTCATCTCATCATCAAAAGGATTTGTACATATTTTGTTAATAATGGTCTATCTAGCTAGCTAATTAGTTAGCTATTCTTCTGTGCTGTGTTTTTTTCTTTCTGCTGTTGACTTTCTTGTCACAGCTGCACTGAATCCAGAGCTGACGAGCCAGAGCGCTGGAGGCATGGCCTCCAATTGAGGAAGAGCAGTATTTAAGCTCCAGCCTCCACCCTGCTAGTAGTAATTTTTTTATCGTTCGGCTAACTTCCGAGATCTTTTAATAGACTTCCTGTCTTTTTTCTTTTCTTCTTCAGTTTAGTTTTAGGATTCCTGCCCATTGTTGTATTGTTTTTACTTTGAGTTTTTTTCACCCAGGATTTTGTCACCACTGCCTCTTGTGAACAGAGCACCTCGCACCACCTGGAGATTTACCACCATGTGGAGTCAGTGCACTAACCCCCTCACTAGATCCTGAACTTTTTTGCACATTTGCCTGTGAAGAATAAGGATAAACAAGAATTTCTTGCCATCGTTCTCTCAGTTTTCTACTTCTGGGTCCTCCTCCTTTGACATATCAACTGATATGTCATCATAACAATTCTGATACAAAATCTAAAAGAAGACATACAGTGGTCACTCTCCTATCATAGCTCCGTTCCAAGATCCACCACGAAAAGGGAAACTCTCCGAAGAAGGGGTGAGATATTTATATTATTTACATATATATTTACTCTTTACGAACCTCTCCACACTGTTATCAATCCTCCCTAGAATATGTTACCCCTTCCCACACAATTGTATGCACAGTAGAGTTGTATATTGCAAATATAAGACATACATATTACGTAAATAAACTAAATGCAAGACCATGACAAACAATGTAAAATACATTCTAATTATAAATTAAAATTGTACATGCACATTGTGGGGGGCGTGTAGGAGGTTAGCACTCAGCTGCAGGAAGGGGGAGAGCACGGGAGTGGCAATGCAGGTGCAGCCTGGTGAGCGGAATTCGAGTAATCCAGCCTCTCCTTTTATTAGTAGGAGCCGGGACCAAGGAGGGAGGAGAGCAGAGGTGGGACCAAGTCATTGCTTTGCAAGTCATCTCAAGTAAGTCTCAAGTCTTTGCACTTAAGTCCGAGTTAAGTCTCAAGTCAAGACAGGCAAAGTCCGAGTCGAGTCCAAGTCGAGACTGAAAAGTGTCAAGTCAAGTCCCAAGTCCCTTACGTTTCTGTTTCAAGTCCTTTTAAACAAAATAATTATATATTTACACAGATCACTTTGGGTTTTGGAGAAAGTATCAAGTCTTGTCGAGTCAAAGGGCTCA